AGGATGAGTACGTTGGCAGAGGAGACCTAAACACAGGGAAAACAAGGTTAAACACAGGGAAGGAGCACGCCAGAACTGGAGCAGAGGGGAAGCCTAGTTACCACTGGAGATGGCAGAACAAACTGGCGAGGAGTAGCAGGCAGCGCTGGTTTAAGAAGCCCTCCTGCTGATTGTTTGCAGATGAGGCCCAGGTGAGATGCTGGAAACTCCACCTCTGAAGTGTGGACACAGTATCCCCATTCCAAGTGGAAAAGCCCCTCAGACACTTCCATGGTGCATGACAAGAAGGATGAGAAAGCATTCATGGTCCATCCATCCCTCCGTCAGCGTAATGCCTAAAAGTTTATTCAGATGTAAATGTATTACATTTTTAAATAAAGATCATCAGTGTTTTTAATGACGCTGCAGTTCATTCATGTGTCTCTATTGGACAGTGTTGTAGAAGTTACAGAAGACAGGAATCAGTTCCAGCTTGGCCTGACATTTGATCACTAGTGATGTGTGATACCACTGATTTCCTTTCCGATCCCATACCAAGTAAAATTCAGGGTGGTATCGACGATACTGCTCCGATACTTTGTACAAAAACTTTACTCTTTTATTGTATCTCAAATTATAGCGTCATAATCATTACAGGACATCAGATTACTTGTTCTTATCACTTAATAATGCAGAATTCATCATATAGAAATCAAAAACCTGAAGTTGTGCACTATGTGAACACCTTGCCTGCCTGCAGCACTAAAGGACTCCCTGAGAGACGTCTGTCTCACCCTAGCAGCACCCGTCCTTCTCCTCCTCTTCAGTTTGCCTCAACATAAGCTCGTCATATTCTGTGATATGATTTACTTTGAGGTGTTTGACAAGGTTAGTGGTGTTGCCACAACACCTCACTTTCTTGCCACATGTATCGCAAACCACGTCTGGGCTGTTTGTGGATGTAAAATACGTGCGCACATGACTCCAGTTACGCTCAGCCATTGTTGTGAGTGCGCACGCCACAGGCTGCCACACATTTATACAGCCGTATTTCACACATGACTATAAAAGGCGGAAGAGGGAGTAGTTCTTTCCAATGTAGACAATCTGAATGATAGTTTCTTTCCACTGTGTTCCTGTTAATGAAAAACTACAATTTACCCCAAAATGATTCAAATATCGATATTTTAATGTGGAAACCTTCTGTTTCCACATCTGGACTTTCTGTTGCTGCCCACGCGGGTGAAACTTTCTTTGAAGTGGCTCATTGAAGTTGTAATTGATAATCAATTCCCACACAATGAGAGAATCCAATCAATTTGTTTATCAGGGGAAAGGTGTGATTTCTTAGGACACTGGAGCCTAACATTAACTGGTTTAAAATTAGCTTATTTCCATAAGAAGAAAAACATACTGAGAAAGAGATCACCAAAATATACATGTACAAATGTGAAATAGTCATATGTAGTGTGAAAGAGCTATTGACATCTTTAAATTCAAAGTAATGTATAAATCCACTTACATAAAACATGAAAAGGCGCGCAGCGATGCCCATCTCAGCCAGTGTATGATGGTGGGGCAAGATGGCAGCTTCCACAACATGACGCCAGCTCCTATGTATTTTTAGTAGATAAATGATACGTTTATGTATCAATTTGTTGGAAGATGTAATTACACCTTAATTATGTAATTAGAAGCAAAAATGATTTTTTTTAATCAAATCACCTCAAAAATTACTGTACTTACTTTCTAAATCATTCTTTACCTCTGAAAGGGGTGGCTGTGGCTCAGGAGGTGGAGCAGGTCATCTACTAATCAGATGGTTTTTGGTCGATCCCTGGCTGCTCCAGACTGGCATGCTAACTGTCCTTGGGCAAGACATTAACCCCAAGTCACTCTCTGATGCATTCATCAGGTATGAATGTGTGTGAATGTTAGGAAAGCACAGAAAAGGGCTTCTATGAACAGGTGTGAATGAGGCAACCTGTATAGAGCGCTTTGAATGTTCAGGTAGAGTAGAAAAGCATGTAAAAATTTCTCTGTGTTGATTTCTTTTGGACCTCAAACATTACTCACCTTGTTGCAGTTTCTTATTAATGCTGAAAACCCAGAAGGAAACTGACCTACTGCTTCCTTCCTTTCCAAACTATTGCGGCTCCTCCAACCAACGGCCGCGGCAGGCTAAACATGAGGACACAGATGACGTGCAACATAAATGGTAAATGGCCTGTATTGTATAGCGCTTTCTAGTCCTAAGGACCCCAGCGCTTTACAAACCTGTCATCCACCATTCACACACATCACACACTGGTGATGCAGCTACAGTGCAAGCACCTGGGCGCACTGACAGAGGCGAGGCTGCGGACACTGGCACCGGGCCCTGACCACCACCAGGGCAACGGTGAGTTCTTGCCAAGACACAAGACCGAGACTGTCCAAGCCGGGCTCGAACCGCAACCTCGATACAAGGCAACTCCAACTCTGAGCCACGATCGCCCATGAGACACCTCTTACTATTGCTACTTACACATACAACTGTCCACGTACAAATCGGCACACGCCTCAACCATTAAACAAATGCACAGACTGCACAATAACTGACCATTTACTAGCCAAATTTCACATTGGCCTATTGCATACTAGTGCAGAAGTATACATAAACCAAAGATCATCAAAATGATTCAAGCTGCGCTCAAGCTGCAGTCAACGAAGGTTTCGCCTCATGCTCACCCTACCTTTCTGCTCATTAACATCAGGTGCCGTGAACAGGTGAGGCAACCACATTTATCACACCCATTAAATCCTTTTATCTCATTGTGTTTGAATAATTGTAATCCTTCTACTGGGATCTCAGCCAGATCCATCTTCACCTCCAGCTCATTAAATCTCAGCTGCCAGACTTATAACAAATTCAAAGAAATAATCATCATTTCCTCCTCACAACCTTTTGGTATACGATACATGGGTACAAGCCTTGTTACAGATTGGTCACTTTTTATAACCAAGTCACTGCCTGCATCTGCACATCAGACACTCTTAGCTGTCCGTGCAGCCTGGCTCAATGCAAAAGAAACAAACCGTTTCGTGTTTAACTCTTTGAACTTTTCTTTGAGTTTTTAACTAAGATTTTATTGTGTCTTTAACACACTTTGTAACTGTTTTGAAAGTGCTAGGCAATTAACTGTTAACTATTACTGACTGTTATTATTGTTATTGACAGTCTGGAGCTTTGGCAGTATGGAAGGTGGATGCGAGAGGGAGACTTCATGGGAAACCACCTTTTTTCTTCCATCACCATAATTCCTGAATTTTCCAAAATGCATAGGTTAAAAAAACAAAACTCGTTGCTTTTTTAAAAATTCTGCAACATCCAGAAATCCTAGCAGCTGCACCACCAATGGACGCATAGCAATGTGGAGATGGTGGTGCAGTCGGGTAGCAGTAGACACTAAGCCCCAGTGGAATGCAGACACCAACAGAAATGGAGGAAATGTCACTCAGCTACAGTAATGTCTTGACCAGCATTATAATTACTTTCGTTGTTTAATTACACTTTTATTTTAACTGGAGATTGACAGTAACAACACTGTTTTCTTTGACCAAAATTTCATTGAAGGAAATTTCATGCAGCTTTGATGCTGGATGGAGACAGCAACGCATTTTAAAACCCTGACTTGGACTGTGGGAATCAAGTCTTTACACATCACACACACACACACACACACACACACACAACACCAACACACACACACACACACACACACACCCAGCTGACCATAAGAGCCAAGAGTTGCAGTGATAGGCAGGCTGAACCAGCAAATAGCCAGAAACAACTGGTCAGTGCAGCACCGCCTCAGGTACACATACAGATTTTAACTGGCTCTGACTTGTGTGGTGTGGAGTATGCTAGATTTATATAAATATGGATGAGATTAGCTGGGGATGAACAAAATCTCCTTCAGCAACTATTAAATAGCCAGAAGGGGCCAGACAGTCAATATATTAATTCAGCGTTCCTACAGAACAGACCGTAAAGCATTCCCAAAAAGTCAAAACAATTATTTTAGCAGCTGATTTCTGTACTTAAAAAAACCCCAAACAAACATTTATTATAGCTCTATTATGTAGGTAATGTAGGAGACGTGGACACAAATACACAGAGGGTTAACGAGGGAAGTGGGAGCACACGGGGAACACAGGCGACACTGATAATCATAACGAGACACGGCAGGAGTAACACAACACTGACGGGAGACTATCAAAGTAAAACAGGAAGCACACAGAGACGCAGACCAGATTGGAAGAGAACACAGACATAGCGGGCTGGGAAAACATGGAATAAAACACAAGGAGGAGAAACGAGGCATGGGGGCTGGCAGATACACAGAGGGGGCACACAGGGGGTAAAGTCACGAGGGGAAATCAAATAAGCAACATCTTAACAGAACAACCGAGGGACCCTAAAGCTGACATCAAACAACAACAATACAAGACACACAAAAAACCAGGTAGAAGTCCCAGGACCATGACATGCAGGTGGTTACATATGGTTAAAATGATTCAAATGCACTAAGTATGCATGTTTTTCATATCAATATAGTCCATAACTTGATTACTGTCTGTAGCCCACATGATTAAACACTTTAGTTACATAAAACATGTGAGTTTAGATTTTATCTACTGTATAGCCTGTATAGTAAATTAATATGTAGCCCAATAAGTATAAAATCCAGAAAGCTACACAACATGGGACGGTTCATTTACAAACACAGTTCTAACTTGAGTTTCACACAGTTTTTATTAGAAAACAATCAAATTGTTAAATGCTTCAAGTACACAAAATGTCAGAAATCTGCACCGTCATGAACAGAAATTTAAACCTAATTTTTCGTGATTTGTTGATTAACCCTCCGAGGTCTAAATCCCACGTTGTGCACATCAACATCACAGATTTGTACAAATAAAATTTATAACAAAGACATGTTAAATATTAAGCACTGGAAACAGCTTGTTGTTTTGTTGCCATAGCGTTTTGTTTTGTCTCCATTTAAAAGATATCAAAATCTGAGCAAACAACTTGATGTCAAAAGAATCTCTGCACATTCCGCAGTCTTTGCTGCTAAAGTGACATCACAGCATTTAAGCATGTTTGAATGAAAACATCAGCATATGAACACAAAACTGAAGAGACACTGCAACCGAATGAAAGCAGACCACTATTTAGTGACATTTGGACGTTTCCCTGAGGATTAACTGCTGTGTAATCTACCAAGAACTAAAGTAAGCTCAAATTTCAGTTTATAAACTCAAGATCATTTACTTAAATATATAAAGCCTGATTTCCCTGCTTGCCAGGACAGTATTTATGTACTTTACATTGTGCAAGACTAGACTATATTTTCCATCATAGAGAGGATGATGTGGATCTATTATTCAGGAAAACAAATGAAGACTTAACTATTTGTCAGCTGATGTAATATTTGACAAATGATACATAAATTAGAAAATGTTCTTAATCATATCTTAGAGTGACAGAAGCTCTTTTTAACACGATTATTTCTCAGATTATTTTGTTCATTTAGGAAAATAGAGAAGACGTAAGTTTTGTTCTCAAACAAACTATTAGAATTTCTGAGAAACTGAGCCTACGTGCACATGTACACGGCTATTTTTGAAAGCGCAGCTTTGTCTCTGCATTTGGGCCTTTCGTCCACACCTAAACAGCAGATTGAGTCACTGAAAGGTGAGATTTTTAAAAAGCACGTTTTTGTGTTTAGGTGTGGACGAGGAAAACGGACATTTACTCAGGCAATGTCAAAAGTGTGCGCCGCTGTTGAAGTCACGCTGTGGCCACGTTATTGTTTACATGAGATCAATTTCTACAATGGCAGATGTAGACAACATACTGTGTCTGTTAATCTTAGTATCTGCAGTTTTTACACGCTTACATCAGACGTGGATTCTACATTCAACACAGACGCTCTCCCAACCCAAATCCTGACGTCGGTTTGGAAGAAATGTAATTTAAAAAAATGACATTTATGTATGCTGTATGCATTTAGTCCATTCCAAAGTTGTGAGTCTGTCTTTAGTTATTAACATTTGAAACGATGAAGGCACGTGAAAGTAACACAAAATTAGCTGCTTTTCCAGAAAAAGACAAAAACTTCTCAGAAGTACGTAAGGTTTTATGAGGTTTTCCCACCCAGGCTTCTAGACTTCTGATTGGCCAACATTTCTACACGGTTAAGATTTGGCGTGTTCTTGACAGCGTTTCACTTTGTTTTTAGTGTTTAGATGTGGAAGGAGATATTTTTTCAAAACTGCACATGTGGACTGGATTATTTTTTTTAAACGAAAAAGGAAAAACGTCCGTTTTCAAACATAGCCGTGTACGTTTGGACGCAGCCTAAAGTCATCACAAAAAAAGCAAATTCTCTGAACATTCTGGGTTGAGGTTTAGTGATCATTGTTGTTTTGTGTTCCTTGTAGTCAAAATGAGTGCAAGTGGAGACGGACCACAAAATAACCAAAACGGTAAGCACATGTACTCAGTCTTGAAATTGATGAAAAACAGATTTTCAGCAGATAGTTATGGATGTTAATTAAAAGATTTAATGATCTTGCAGGCCAACAGGTTAACCCACGAATGTTGGCAAATGGAGATCAGGAACCTGCTAATGGCTTCCTGAACAGTCTGTATCGCGCTCTCCATGAATATTGTTGCTATCTAGATGAGCTAATAGCTTCAGTACTGGCACAATATGACAATTACCTTTACGGGGACGATGACGATGACGATGACGATGACGACGATGACGACGACGATGACGGACGACGACGGCAACGATGACGATGACGACGACGACGATGTTCAAAATACATGTGAGGGACAATAATGCCAATGGTGACAACGATGAGCCACGGGGATGCTGTGGTTGTGATCATTTTCAATGTTGGTGGCATTGAAAATGAGGAGGCATTTGAAGGCCGCATGGATGTTCGCCAGTACATCCCAGAAGAGGACCCTCAGCCAGGTGTTTCCAGGAAGAGGTCTAGAGAGAGGGATGAAGAAGATTTAGGAGCAAACAAAAGAATGAGATGGAGCGATGATGACTCTGAAGTATTTGAAGATGCGCACGAAGAGCTTGAACACGAAACTGGAGGCTCGAGGAAGCGTTCCCGAGAGGATTTTGAGCAAGAAGAGAATACTTGCCTGTGTGCAAACTTCAGAGGTGTTCAATTGAGTCGACCAGCAGCAATGAAGACTAAGACTACTTCGACGGGTTTTTTCAGTATCCTTTCAGTAATCTGATGGCCTACTCAGGTGATCCTGAATCCTCTATGCTGCAATAAGCTGGGCATACACTGTGCTGCGATTTTTCAGTCGCGTTATTCGGCTCCTGATCAAACTGTAGGATTGACTCGCAGGGGTGAGAAGTTTGATCAAGGCCAAACTCGGACGATCCCCAAAACGATCGCACGACTGAAAAATCGGCTCAAAATGGGCCAAAAATCGCACAGTGTATGCCCAGCATTAGGCTGCCGGGGGATTCCCATGATGCACTGGGTGTTTCTTCTTCACCCACTATGTTTAATAGACCTCTCTGCACTGAATGGTACTTGTTATTAACCTCTGTCTCTGTTCCATGTCTTTATACTATTTTCCTTGCCCCTCCCCAACCGGTCGCAGCAGATGGCCGCCCCTCCCTGAGCCTGGTTCTGCTGGAGGTTTCTTCCTGTTAAAAGGGAGTTTTTCCTTCCCACTGTCGCCAAAGTGCTTGCTCATAGGGGGTCATATGATTGTTGGGGTTTTCTTTGTAAGTATATCTTACAATATAAAGCGCCTTCAGGTGACTGTTGCTGTCATTTGGCGCTCTTTAAATAAAATTGAATTGAAAATTAAATAGATGTCACTGTGATGATTTCTTCCCTGCATAGAAAGCTTAGACCCAAATGCAGATTCAATGCACATGGTTAAACTATTTATGAGACTTTAGAGAGGGAATGGAGAACGTGGCTCGAGCTAGGAGTGTCAGCAGACAGCAGGAACCAGAGGAAAAGCTATCGAGAGACTGAACACCTGGCTCCTGATGGGAACAATCCAACGGGAATTCTGCAACAGAGGGAGAAGAAGTTGCTGGACGGGTAAGGGAGTTTGAGGGTAGGATGAGTACGTTGGCAGAGGAGACCTAAACACAGGGAAAACAAGGTTAAACACAGGGAAGGAGCACGCCAGAACTGGAGCAGAGGGGAAGCCTAGTTACCACTGGAGATGGCAGAACAAACTGGCGAGGAGTAGCAGGCAGCGCTGGTTTAAGAAGCCCTCCTGCTGATTGTTTGCAGATGAGGCCCAGGTGAGATGCTGGAAACTCCACCTCTGAAGTGTGGACACAGTATCCCCATTCCAAGTGGAAAAGCCCCTCAGACACTTCCATGGTGCATGACAAGAAGGATGAGAAAGCATTCATGGTCCATCCATCCCTCCGTCAGCGTAATGCCTAAAAGTTTATTCAGATGTAAATGTATTACATTTTTAAATAAAGATCATCAGTGTTTTTAATGACGCTGCAGTTCATTCATGTGTCTCTATTGGACAGTGTTGTAGAAGTTACAGAAGACAGGAATCAGTTCCAGCTTGGCCTGACATTTGATCACTAGTGATGTGTGATACCACTGATTTCCTTTCCGATCCCATACCACGTAAAATTCAGGGTGGTATCGACGATACTGCTCCGATACTTTGTACAAAAACTTTACTCTTTTATTGTATCTCAAATATATAGCGTCATAATCATTACAGGACATCAGATTACTTGTTCTTATCACTTAATAAGCAGAATTCATCATATAGAAATCAAAAACCTGAAGTTGTGCACTATGTGAACACCTTGCTGCCTGCCAGCACTAAAGGACTCCTGAGAGACGTCTGTCTCACCCTAGCAGCACCCGTCCTTCTCCTCCTCTTCAGTTTGCCTCAACATAAGCTCGTCATATTCTGTGATATGATTTACTTTGAGGTGTTTGACAAGGTTAGTGGTGTTGCCACAACACCTCACTTTCTTGCCACATGTATCGCAAACCACGTCTGGGCTGTTTGTGGATGTAAAATACGTGCGCACATGACTCCAGTTACGCTCAGCCATTGTTGTGAGTGCGCACGCCACAGGCTGCCACACATTTATACAGCCGTATTTCACACATGACTATAAAAGGCGGAAGAGGGAGTAGTTCTTTCCAATGTAGACAATCTGAATGATAGTTTCTTTCCACTGTGTTCCTGTTAATGAAAAACTACAATTTACCCCAAAATGATTCAAATATCGATATTTTAATGTGGAAACCTTCTGTTTCCACATCTGGACTTTCTGTTGCTGCCCACGCGGGTGAAACTTTCTTTGAAGTGGCTCATTGAAGTTGTAATTGATAATCAATTCCCACACAATGAGAGAATCCAATCAATTTGTTTATCAGGGGAAAGGTGTGATTTCTTAGGACACTGGAGCCTAACATTAACTGGTTTAAAATTAGCTTATTTCCATAAGAAGAAAAACATACTGAGAAAGAGATCACCAAAATATACATGTACAAATGTGAAATAGTCATATGTAGTGTGAAAGAGCTATTTGACATCTTTAAATTCAAAGTAATGTATAAATCCACTTACATAAAACATGAAAAGGCGGCGCAGCGATGCCCATCTCAGCCAGTGTATGATGGTGGGGCAAGATGGCAGCTTCCACAACATGACGCCAGCTCCTATGTATTTTTAGTAGATAAATGATACGTTTATGTATCAATTTGTTGGAAGATGTAATTACACCTTAATTATGTAATTAGAAGCAAAAATGATTTTTTTTAATCAAATCACCTCAAAAAATTACTGTACTTACTTTCTAAATCATTCTTTACCTCTGAAAGGGGTGGCTGTGGCTCAGGAGGTGGAGCAGGTCATCTACTAATCAGATGGTTTTTGGGTCGATCCCTGGCTGCTCCAGACTGCATGCTAACTGTCCTTGGGCAAGACATTAACCCCAAGTCACTCTCTGATGCATTCATCAGAGTATGAATGTGTGTGAATGTTAGGTAGAAAGCACAGAAAAAGGGCTTCTATGAACAGGTGTGAATGAGGCAACCTGTATAGAGCGCTTTGAATGTTCAGGTAGAGTAGAAAAGCACTGTAAAAATTTCTCTGTGTTGATTTCTTTTGGACCTCAAACATTACTCACCTTGTTGCAGGTTTCTTTATTAATGCTGAAAACCCAGAATGGAAACTGACCTTACTGCTTCCTTCCTTTCCAAACTATTGCGGCTCCTCCAACCAACGGCCGCGGCAGGCTAAACATGAGGACACAGATGACGTGCAACAGTAAATGGTAAATGGCCTGTATTTGTATAGCGCTTTTCTAGTCCCTAAGGACCCCAAAGCGCTTTACACAACCTGTCATCCACCCATTCACACATTCACACACTGGTGATGGCAAGCTACAATGTAGCTGTTATGTATGAACCAAGAATTATTGTGTGCTATGCAAGCCATCGCCAGTAGGGGGCACCACGCCCAGTTATGTATGTATGTTACTTCTGTGTGATCCAATAAAGAAGAAGTCAACTTGTAAACAAACTGTTGTATGTGCAGTCTGACTCGGCATAATCCTTAATAGTTATTGACACTACAGTGGAAATATAACATAAATTGGCGACGAGTTGTGACGTCTGGAAGACTTGGCTGTCTACTGAGCATGAACTGACTGCGTGGCCGAGTTCGGACGGAAAACGGACGATCGCGTGGTGAATTAGCATCGGAGCTAGCTGCTAGCTGCTTTTCGCCGACGAGTCAAAAACGACAGTGTTGGCTGTGGACAGCGGATACATCATGGCTGGAATGATTGGACAATGGACCCTTTTGATGATGCTGGTGAGCAAT